AATCAATTATGTAGTACAAAAATGAAGGTTTTTAAAAAGAGTTATTACTAATGATTAAGAGACCTAAAAATTAATTATTATGGTTTTTAAAAGAGATAACTGACTACCCTAATGGGATAATAGATTATTCCGCGTGAAAATACTTCTAATTCATTAGAGTGTGTCTCAAAACTGTATCTAGGCACAAAAACATTTTCCAGTTGATTTAATACAATATGAGGCTTTCCAATCATTCCGAAAGTGTGTGAGTATGTCATGTGCCTTAGTAAAATCGAGAGGTAGTCTTATTCCTTTGCAAACTATAGATCACTTGACATATACAAAGCGAACTTTGACACCTTCTCTCTTTCGCAACTCTATAGCTTCAGGTTCCTTGCTACATTATAATTTCACTTTAGCACTTCATTGGAACCATGAATTTTCTTCTAAACTTGAGATAATGTTTCATGATAGATACCATTATGAAACACACTGCTTGATCATATATCTCCAATGACTTCCATAGAGTCTTTGAAAAAAAGGATCTTCAAGCACCACCACTTGATCATCACATAAGATGAAATATTGATCTCCAAGCTTCATAGCTTAAAAAACACATCAGATGACGACTTCACTTGTCATCATCAAAACCAAAAGCCTTGATCAACACTTTTGATGAAGACTTCACTTTAGAGTGTCTTAATTATAAAGACTAAATAATGTCTTGCAGATGTCATATCTCCAAGCACTTAGGTCCATATTCCCTCATTTTTTTATTATGACATTACATCTTTTAGAGAGGTGGATAAAACAAGCAAACAAGGTGATATATTTTGTGGAACCATATTTTGCATGTTATTATAAAGAAGTGATCAAAGACAAAATATGACAAATAGGGGTTGTCTCTTGATGATGTGCTTTTGATGATGAAAACGTGAAGGAGATTTGAAAGTCATCTTCTATGACAACTTGTTTAATGATAACAACCTTTACAACATATGATGATTTAAGTATGACAAACGGTTAATAATGCAACAGACGAATTAGGTTTGGTGATCACTCCAAACATTCTTTGGATGTTGGAATAACTTGAATATATGTCCACGCCTCATCTCGAATAAGGACCGAGCAAGTTCTTATATGATTAATATATTTGGAAAATCTTGAAG